GGAAGGGAAGGGAAAAGAAGGAAGAATTTTCGCTAGCGGGGTCCCGAGCCTAGCGGGAAGACTCCCTTCTAAATAGTGATGGCCCGATGGCCCGGGGGGTGGACGCTGGCAATGCTCGCTGCTTTGGGCTTAGGAAACACCAACCTTCGTGTCTGCTCTGGCCGAGCGCTGAAGGTCCCTTTCTTCAGGGTTGGGGGGGGGCTGAGCACCCTGGCAGTCTTTAGGGAGGGTAAGCAGCGGGAGCCGCCGTCCCTCCCTACCTCCCCTAAACACTTCCAAATTGTAAACAACCAACAGCCCCCCCCTCTTCCTCTTTCACCCCCCCCCCCCCCCCGATCATCCCCCGTCAAGCTTGTCGCTAATAGCGTCCTGCAGCACACACACACAAAACACTACGGTCTCGGGCCCATTCGGAAACTCAGCCCTCAAACCTCCCAGTCTCAGCTGCTTCGGCAACCCGCTGAAACCCGCTAAAACCCACTGCCCAGGACACCCAAGTCCCCATGGTCACAGCACAACAGCGCCCCCCCCCCCCCCCCCTTCCCTGCCCGCAGAACAATAGAAGGCCGGTTTGCTTTACCTCTCGCTTCTCCCCCCAAACCACCACCACAAACAAAACATGATGTATCTGATTCATTTAGGCGCGGCTACGTCGCGCTGACGCCTATTTCCTCTGTCAACTGTACAATACCTAGTACACTAACTACCCCATAGAACAAATGACCTCCATAACGAATAACAATAAACAAACATATACTCAATCAACCCAAACAAAAGTCCTCCCAGATAATACACCCATGCTAAATAGCCCAATAGCCCAATAGTCCAATAGCCCGTGAATCAAAGAATAACTATATTCCTTCGTGTCCTCATCTCTTTGTCCACCAGACCAGTAACTCCGGTTCGAATCTACACTCACCGCTGGTACTGTACACCACCTCGCTCCGGGCGCGTCCGCTTTGCTCTAGGTACGGTACAGTTAGTACCCCGCACGCACCTGCACCTTGCACCTCGCACCTCGCTCGAGTTCGTCAACCCTGCCGTGCAGCGCACTTGCTTCCCCCCTCCCCCTCCCGAGGGGGTTAGCTAGGTAGCCGCCACCACCACCACCAACTGGAATACAAAAACCACCCTCTGTGATCAGTCGTGTTGGGGTATATATATACAATGTGGATGCGTAAGTTTTCTTTGAGTAAAGATTTTCCAACGTTGTAGTTGATCCTAGTATGTACGCGAAAAGCTAAGAGGATGGATGGGGTTTTGTTGTTGTGTGGCACAGCTGGACTTGTCGGTGAGGTCACAATACCTAACTATAGTTACTATATATTTTGTCCATACGCCCCCCCTCCCCCACAACACTGCCCGGCGCAGCATCATGCTCCCCCGCCCCCACGCCCAGGTCTGGTGTTCATGCCGAATTGTCCTCAATTCATGTACTACTATGGTTCACAAGACACTCTGAATCGGAAAGCGTATTGTTGATCTCATACAACATGAAATTCGGGGACTGTCGAATTGAACTACATCCAGACTCGAAGTGTGTTGAACAGTAGATCAGTCCGCAAGATGTTTTATTTACAGTCACGCCGAAGATCGAGAGTGCTCTATGGTCTATGCGAAGCAAAACTGCTGCCATACACAGTAAACGCAAGACTTGAAAGATCAAAGCTAGGTATATCATTTCGCGCCTGCTCGCAGGAAAAATCACTGCTCGCTAGATCCAAGGTCTCTAATATAACAAGGACGTGCCTTCTAAAACCCCCACAGGGGGTCCACATTCGAATCTCCGTGGGGGAGAGTAATCGCCGAAACGAAACAGAGAGAGCTTCATGGTTATCATATACAACTGGCTTAGAACTTGAACACCTGGTCCTTGCTGTAGCCCAGCTCGGCCAGGACTCCGGACAGCTCGCCCTGGTCGGCGGGGCTCTTCTTGGGGCCGCTGATGGCCTTGTACAGGCCGGGGGGACCGCAGACGAAGATCTTGATGTTCTCCTCCTTGGGCTCGGGGAGGACGGTCTTCAGGAGCTCCTTGCTGATGAAGCCCTTGCCACCGGTCCACTCCTTGGGGGGCTTGTCCAGGACGTAGAAGGCCCGGAAGCGCCGGGGGTAGGTGTTCTCGAGCTCCTCGAACTCCTTCTTCAGGAGGATGTCCTCCTCGGTCACGTTGCCGAACACGAGGGTGACCTTGGTCTGGTCCTCGGGGTTCTTGAAGATCTCACGGGCCAGCTGGTACATCGGGGTGATACCGGTGCCACCGGCGATCAGGGTGATGTGCTTGTGCTTGTTGGTCTCCCAGGGGTACTTGACGATGGGACCCTTGAAGTCCAGGCGCTGGCCGACGTTCATGTTGTGCAGGTAGTTGGACATGGCTCCGTCGGGGTAGACCTTGACGACAAGGTCGATGTACCCGGGAGTCTCTGCATATGCAGGGTCAGTATTCCGATTGGCGAACAACAGAAAAAAAAAAAAAAAAAAAAAAAAAAAAAAAAACGCGCCACTAACCCTCATCGCTGGTGGGAGTGTAAGGGCGGATCACGGCCTTAGCATCGACGGGCTTGAACTTGGTCAAGAGAGCAGCTAACGGAACACACATCAGTTGTCGGCCAAATTTCTCCAGTAGTGGGACCTCTCGTTCGACTCACAGGCAACCTGGAGACCAGAGACAGCCTCCTTGTCCTCGAACTCGAAGCGCAGGCGCTTGGTGTTGTGGTTGAGAACCTCAATCTCGGACAGCTTCAGATCGAACCATCCCTGGTCACCACCCTTGAAAACCTTCTCGCGGACGACGGGGGCCTCGGCGGTGGCAGAGGAGGCCGAGTTGTAGCGGTACAAACCAACACCAAGACCAGCAAGACCGACACCGACGTAGATAGGAGCCAAGGAGGCCTTGGCCTTGGGCGCCTCCGTGGAGTACTTGCGGAAGCCCTGCCAAAACAGCAATCAATCAGCGCAAATTCATTCTTCCCGGCGGAGGAATTCGGTCCCAGGCACGGGCGGGAAAGATTGCGACCGCTAGACACAACAATCTTTCGGATGGAAGTGCTTACCTGCTTCAGGGACTGAGAGCAGCGGAAAGCTTGACGAGCGAACATTTTGAAATGTCGGATTGAGGACAAATACGTGCTCAATGGGACTGTTTGGGGAGGTGGGTGCGGAGAGAGTAGGGAACAGCTCGGACGGGTAAGGGAGATATTTGAGATCCTCCCCTTCACTTCGGACTCCGAAGCGCCGTTCTCGCACATGACGCAATGTCCGTTCCTGGCGGTAATTCCGCAGGTATTACTAACCCGGCCCCGGCAATCGGGGTCGGATCATGGTAGGCAGTTGTCGAGGCATTGCGTGTATCGTCGCATACCTGAGTTTTCTTCTCACAAAAAAAAACATGTCGCTTCATTTATTGAGGCCGTTCTGTGACTTGCATGTAGAGAAGTCATCTTTGTGTCCTCGGGGCCAGTACGCCGTTGCTTCTCGATTCTGGAATAACGGGTATAGATAGTCCTTGGCAAACTGCGATCTCGGAAATCGATTATATCTACTTCTAAATCGACTCTGAAGCAACAGGAATCGTCTACCTAGAGGCTCACCTAAGGAAGATGAACGGCTGCCGATGCCTCGATTTGATACGTAACCGTGCATGTTCACCCACACAAGCAGTGCACAACCACTAGACTGAGCCGATGGCGTGCTCATCGAAAGGCGAACGACCAAGTGGCTGTCTTCCTATCTGCACCCTGCAGCCGGATCAAGGGCGGAAGGTGGATGATGTCAAGCCTGGAATGTCTTTTCCCACATCCTCTCAAATGTTCATCCAACGAATGTGCCAGTCCTCGTACCCACTATGCATAGATCCGAGCCAGGCCCTGAATGCTGTTTCTGCTGTCACACTGCCATCTAGATCTGCCCCCCGGACTTGGCGTGGGCGGACACATAACGCCGAACCTGACGGAGCGGAGAGGTTCAGGCTGGCTAAGAGGGGAGGCCGACTGTTCTCGCCAGCGACTCAAAAGGTTTAGTAACATACGGATTAATTATCTTAACCCAGCTAAGGATGAAGATCTACGAACCCACAGAACCAGAAAAGTAGGTTGAGTGAACAAAAAAGAAATAACCCCGGTATTTTTGTGAAATAACTTGAAAGGGTCGCTGCAGAGGACTACTAAAGAGACATAAAAACCATCCGTCCCATTTTCTGGGTTGTAGATACACGCCTTGTTCTCCGCGTGATCCGTGTCCTTCGTGCATGCTATGGCCATAACATAGTCATTCATTCCTACACTCCACTTCCCCACGCCCAAATCCTCACATTTACGCGAAGGTAGAGGGGCGAGAGTAAGCGTACAGCTTCTTGCCAGGCTTGACGGAGCGGTGGGGCAGGGGGAACTTGAGGTCCTTGGTGAGGAGCTGCTTGATGTAGGGGCGGCGGATGGTGTCGGCGTTCTCGATCTCAACAACCTTGAGGATCTGCGGGGGTTCGTTAGGAATGTGCTGTTGTTGAGAGCCTCCGGAAAGGAGGCAGTAGTGATAGAACATACGTGGATGGAACCGAAACGGGCACGGTGGCGGGCAGCCATGTCCTGGTAGAGAGCCTCAACGGCCTCGGTGCGGCTCATCTCACGGAACTCCTTGTACATGTTGTGGGTACCGGAGCGCGAGTCGTAGCGGAGCCAGATACCGAAGTTCTTGACCTTGAGGGGGCGCTTCTCGCTGATCTGGAGAGAGGTCGAGTGTCAGCCGACACTTGCCATTGACTTTTTGCGGGCGGACAGTGTAGACATACCACGTTGAGGCTGACGATCTCACCGTTGGCCTTCTTGACCTTGCGGAGCTGGGTCAGGAAGTACCAGAACCGCGACTTAGCGACAACGGTGTTGGGCGCAAAGATGCGCATGCGGTACAGCTTGGGCGTGGGGTTGGCCTCGGTGGGCAGGTGACGCCCGATAACCTGGTACTCTTGGAGACGCCCTATTGATTCCAGTCAGAAAACCCATCCGACAGCCTGACTGTGCGGTCCCCTTGGTGGATTGGCTTGGATCGATGAATTGATGTCTGCGTGGTAAGATTCGGGTACTGGTGTACATGATCGAATAGTGGCGACTCGAGTAAAAGATGATAACGTGTCCGTGTCTTCCTCGATTGTTGTTTATCCTCCCTTGTCAAACCGAAACCCCGTCACATTTTTCCTCCGTTCGCGCGTGTCAAGAAGTTCAATCGTGGTCGAGCAAATTTCTATCTCCATGGTGTGTGTCGTTCGATCGCAAAAATATTTCATCGCAAAAAAGAAACCGAACCGCCAAGGGGACCATATCGAAAAATTCAAAAAAATGTTAACTCACCCATCTGGTTAATTCAGTCAGTAACAATTTCCTGGCAGTAAAAAGAGGGACAAAAAGGGTGGGCTCACTTTGATTGACGCTGTAGTGGTTAGTCGACGAGAGATGTGCCGGTTGTACTCGTCGCGGAAGGGAGGATTTTTGGGAACCGGATTGATTGTGAGCTAGGTTTAACCCTCCTTAGGGCTAAGCGACCGTGAGGCTTGGCCAGTGCTATTCCTGATCGGGCCTCTCAGCCACAGCGCTGTGGCGGTGAGGATTAGATAAGGCCTTTCGGGCGGGCGGCATCCGCTTCTTTTTCCCCGCCTTCTCCGATCGCCGTTTCATCATCGGGCAGGGTCATTTGTTGTCTATCGAGTCTCATCGTCAGCTTTCTTGAACCGTTCCGGCCACCCTCGAGTGCTTAACATATCATCTTCACTTACGGACTGCTAGGGACTATCATACTCACCCACCTCCCCCCTATGCCACAATGGGCTCAATCTTCGAAGAGTTCAAGGATGGCCAGAAACTTGGCTCTGGTCACCACCTAGCCGCAGCTCTTACCCCCGTCTCGACCGCCGCGAACCCTGGCCGTTTACAGTCATTCTACTACTTCTCCAACGCCGCGCGTCTATCGTCCGACCTTCGCTATTCCCTCTTTCAGGCCAATGGCATACGACTACCGAAGCAGGAACAAAACTCATGGGTGGACATTTTCGCGGCATACTGGAGCGCTGCTGGGGAGCTGGTTCGGTTCGAGGAGGCTTCTTCGCGCGCCAGCTGGGTCAAGGTGTTCAATGCGTGGAAGGAGACGGCCAACCAGCTTATCCGGGGATACTCGACGGGCGGTCTCCAGGCATGGACGATTCCATGTCTGTATGTGGTGGGGAGGTATTTGCGACAATTCGCGAGGAAAGCCGATGCCGAGCTTGCTTCCCAGGAGTCCGATGGGTTCGGTGATGGCTTCCAAGATGATGTGGCCACTGGTCTAGAGAAGAATGCGAAGCTGGAGGAGGCTACTCGAGTGCTGAACCGAATGTTCACGTTGTGCCTCACTGACAGGTAAGCTATCTGGCACCACATGTGGGTCGACGCCATCCTTGCTAATCGCAACAACGTTGTAGGTCTCCGATCGAGGAATCCCGGAAGTGGGGGGTCTACGACACGACCAACCTCCTGTTCAAGACCTATTTCAAACTCAACACCGTTGGCCTGTCCAAGAACTTACTGCGTGCTCTTAATGCGCAGTCCGCCGACCTCCCCGAACTAGACGCCTTCCCCAAGTCCCACATTGTCACCTTCAAATACTACGTTGGCGTCATTCACTTCCTCGATGAGAACTACGCCGAGGTACGTGCGCCTACATTTGTACTTGAACAACCCAGACTGACGCCTGGCAGGCTGAGCAGCATTTGGCGGAAGCCTGGAGGATGTGCCATTGCAGCGCAATGAAGAATCGGGAGTGAGTATGCTTCTCCTTTGCCTGGTGTCCGTACTAATGTGTATCCAGACTCATCCTTACCTACCTCATCCCTTGCCACTTGGTTACGACACACACGCTACCCAGCAAAAAGCTCCTGGCGCCCTTCCCCCGCCTTGAGAAGCTCTACCGTCCCCTATGCAATTGTATCAAGAAAGGCGATCTGGGAGGCTTCGATGCGGCGATGTCCGCTGGCGAGGAAGAGTTCGTCAAACGACGTATCTACCTACCTCTGGAGAGGGGACGCGACATCGCCTTGCGGAACCTCTTCCGGAAGGTGTTTACCGCCGGAGGGTTTGAGGAGTCCAAGGACGGCCAACCTCCGATTCGCCGGACCCGCGTACCTGTCGCCGAGTTCGCAGCTGCGGTCCGCATTGGCACACATGCAGACGAGAGGTCCCGGGTGGATATCGACGAGGTGGAGTGTCTGCTGTCGAACTTGATATACAAGGTTAGTTTCGCCCCCCAATAGTTGACTTGCAGTACGCCTGGCTCGATGAAACTGACTTGCCCCTTAGGGTCTCATGAAGGGATATATCGCGCGCGAACGTGGCATGGTCGTGTTAAGCAAGGGCGGGTCCGCATTTCCGGGAACGGGCGTCTAAATTGAGCCTCTGTTATTCTACCTTTCTCGATATGAGACTTTTGACCATGAATTGAGTGATGCCTCGATCTCAACGTCATCAGCAGCCGTATTTAGGCGCATCGGACCCGGCAACCACTGGCCGTTAGTTGGTCACGCAAAACCCCCCAGCCTGGTTTCCGGGCTGGTCACACCTCACTCGACCTGGCATGAGACCAGCAGGAATCGGCACACGAGCATCTAATCAAGATCATCATCGGAAGATTGCTCTACCCACCAGGTGATGGCGACGCTCAAGGGCACGGGGCTATCTTGATCAGCGCGCACCATGACACTTGACTTTATGCGACAAGAGACTTTAGACACCGGAGTTATGCAGATTAGCGACGGAAATACCCCGTTGTATACATACATACCTTGTTTGCAGAAAAAACCGAGATATCCAGCAATTGCATCAATTAACTGTTTAAAACAACTGTTTAACAAATAATACATTCCAAAGTACAGTCAATGAGGTATACACACACATTATACAAAGCTTGCCAAGATTAATACAGTCCACATGCCCGAAAACCCAGAGCCCACCCAATTCTCCGCCCCGAAAAACCAGCAGGGAAGGTGGTGGTGGGCCGGGGGGCGACATCTACCCCGTCCTCATCTATAGTGCCACCTCACTCCCGAGTCATAAAACATACACTCCGAGCCTACGTAATCGTACTCGCCATAGACTGCTGCTGTTTCCCCGACGCACCCGTCAAATCATCCTATCCCCCAAACACAAGAAGTGAAAAGTCAGCATTCCGCAAACCAGATGTCCCCAAAAACCCCACCGACTACTTCCTACTTTACCGCGAATGGGAACGTATAGGAGAGGGGGAAGTTCTCACCATATGATTACACATAGCGACGAACAGATCGAAGAACAGCTTCCCGCCTTGCTCCATCTCCATCTGCATGGTGCCGCTGCGCTTGAAGGTCGACCGGCTCCGGATGATGAGGGCGAGGTAGTGGGCCCGCAGCTTGGACTCGGTGTCCGGCGTGTGCGCGTAGGCGTAGCGCGCGCTCGTCAGGATGGTGCTGCATGAGATGCCCGAGTGCAGCCCTTGCTTGCGGAGGGCGAGGCGTTTCAGGGTCTCCAGGCCGTATTTTTGGGCCGCGCAGCTGTGTTTCATTCAATCCCGGGGGGTTAGTTTGGTGGGGTTTAGGTTGGTGGTTCGTGGGGGGGTTAGGGAGCGGGGGGTCCTTGGGGATACGCATGGTTTTGGGGAGGTACTGGAGGTTG